AAATTGTACAAAAAATAAGAATTTTTAAATAATTGATTTAATATTAAAAATAAAATTATTATTAATTTTTTTAAACACATAAAATCGTATTATAAAATTAATAAAAAATAAAATATAACAATAAAATCAAGATTTAATTCGTATATTTTCATCCTGGTACAGAGGTCAAAATAAGTGGCCTGATAACCAGTGACATCACATCACATGCAAACTAAGAAACAGCCACAAGCGAGAAGCCCCACATCTATGCCTTGATGCCCAAACATTTCCCCCACAATTGCTTCCATTCACATACAAAAGAATCAAAACATCCCATAGATATATATATATATATATGTGTGTATGTATGTATATTTCCACACACATTGCAAGGTGATCCTGATCATGGATGAACATCTTTTCTTCATTTATCTGTTATCCTTGGTCTCTCTCATTTTGATTTTCAAGCTGCTTATACCCAAAAAGGGGAGAAATGCAGCACCAACTCCACCTTCTCTCCCAGTAATTGGCCATCTCCATCTAATTGGACAACCTGTTCACAGAGTCCTTCACCACCTTTCTTCCAAGTATGGTCCTATTATGGCTCTTCGCTTCGGCTCTCGCCCTGTGCTTGTTGTAACCTCTCCACCAGCTGTTGAAGAGTGCTTCACCAGAAACGATCTGGTTTTAGCCAACAGGCCACTCCTTTTAAGTGGCAAGTATCTCGACTATGACCACACCACAGTGGGTGCTGTGCCTTACGGACGTCTCTGGAGGGACCTTCGCCGCATTGTCACACTAGAACTCTTCTCCACGGCTCGACTCAAGGCTTACATGGGAGTCCGACAAGACGAAGTGCGATCATTAATTAAGTCTCTTTCTCGAGATGCATGGCAAGATTTCACAAGAGTAGAAATGAAGTCCAGGATTCAAGGTTTATCTTTCAACATAATCATGAGAATTGTTGCAGACAAACGGTTCTATGGGATCGAGGTGGATGACTTTGAGGAGGCTCGTACCTTTAAGGCTATAATGAGAGAAGCGTCTGAAGTCAGTGTAGCATCAAATCCTGGCGACTTCATCCCATTTTTACGATGGATTGATTTTCAAGGTTTGGAGAAGAAGCTTCAGAAATTGCAAGCTAAATTCGATAGCTTTTCCCAAAGCCTAATCGAAGAACGTAGGAGTAAACACCATGGTTCTTTCGACAACGGGAAGGCCAAGACATTTATCGATGCTTTCCTTTCTTTACAGGAATCAGAACCAGAATACTATACCGACAATATAATCAAAGGCAATATACTGGTATGCATGCTCATGACCTACTTCTGCTCACATTACACGTAGTTTGTACCAACTTCAGGGCCTAACATCTTTTTGTAGACATTGCTAGTTGCTGGAACAGACACTTCATCAGTGACAATAGAGTGGGCGATGTCACTTCTTCTAAACCATCCGGATGTGCTAAAGAGAGCTAGAGCAGAGGTCGATGAACATATCGGATACCAACGTTTGGTAGAGGAGACTGATCTAACCAAGTTGCCATTCATCCAATGCATCGTCCACGAGACACTAAGACTATTCCCAGCAGCACCGCTGTTGGTGCCACATGAACCATCTGAAGACTGCATAATTGGTGGGTTTCATGTATCCCGGGGCACGATGGTGTTGGTGAACGCATGGGCCATCCATAGGGATCCACAGTTATGGGATGAGCCGTTAAGTTTCAAGCCGGAGAGGTTTGAGAAAATGGGGAACATGGGATATCGGTTTATACCGTTTGGGGTGGGACGTCGGCAGTGCCCTGGGGCCGGGCTCGCGAACAGGGTAGTGACATCGGTGTTGGCATCGTTGATCCAATGCTTTGAATGGGAAAGGGTTGGTGAAGAGCTGGTGGAGTTGTCGGAAGGCAGAGGTCTATCCATGCCCAAAAACAAGCCTTTAGAGGCGATGTGCAGAGCTCGCCAAAGAATGAGTCATGTTCTTAAGGAGCTATAAGACTTGACTTGTATTATGTATCAATACCATGAAAACAATAAGCACCCATTTGGTTGCATGGTCTATTTTGTTTTTTAATAAAACTATTTATTTGTTACATATTTTTGTTCTTATTAATTATAACTTCATGAGTAATTATGTCATTTAGGGAGTGTTTGGGATTGTTTATTTGAAATAACTTATGTTTTTCTATAAAAAAATCACTTATCAACTTATTATAAATTAGAAGTTAAAGTTTATTAATAAAAAAATATAATAATTAATAAAATGTAATAATTGTATTTTTTTTAGATACATACCGATAGAAATTAATTGACATATATGCTTGGGGACCAAGGTTTACTTGACTAAGAACAAGTTGTAAGAATCATGGTGGCTAATGGAATATTATTGACTTGGGGACCAATGTTTACTTGGTGAGGAAGGTGGTTGTTTGGAAATTGTTGAATGGTTTAATGTATAATGATTAAGAGATTTTCATAATATAATGTAAAATGAAATATAATTGTTTGGTAATTGTTTACAATGAAATCAGAACATTTAATAGTTAAGGAATGTTCATGATACAAAATCATTCAGAGGGTTTTAGAACCATTAAGAGACAAATTTTTTTTGTCAAACAAGATTTACCTCTTAATGATTCAGATACTGCCTCTTAATGAAACTATTAAGAAGTAAACAAATAACCTCTAAATCTTTGTAGCATATTTAGTATCTTATTAATTGGTGTTTGGTTTTTTTTGTTTAATTAACAAGTAAATGCTCATTTGGATAAATCATCACGCATCTATATGCTATATGTTGTCTGTATTTAACTATGTTATTCTAAACATGTCTTTAAAAGAAAAAATAAATGGTACTCAAACGTACAATTGATTAGGAAAAGTCAACATAAAGCGATCAATATTTTATAGTTCTAAAGTAGATTAATTTAATCATATTGGTGGTCTCTGATTGATTTGAGCTTGGCTTCAAAAGTCAAAAATATCAGCAGGTCTCAGGTTCAAATCCAAAGAGAAATAAAAATCTTCTTGTAGCCACGAAGGTTCAAATGCGGTGACTCCGGGCTATCTGCAAAGCAGGTAGTCGCCTTGGGATTGGTCAGCTCACATAGCTGGTTGGATATCCAAGTTAATAAAAAAAATAAGAATTTATATTATGCGTTATTGGAACAAGAACAAAGTAGGAAGTAACATATTAGTAGAAACCAAGTTTTAGCTATGATTTTGATGTTTTGTTTTAAAGTTGAGTTAGTAGCTCAACAGGTATTAGAAAAACAATGGGTTGAGATTGATGTCGGACAGTTAATTAAACGAAAAATGACTCGGTACGTTATTGTGATGAAACATTTGTTAAATATTTAATTGTGAGGCATGATATGATGTGAAATTGATGTTCAAGTGTGTTTTCATATAGATATACGTTAATAACTTACAAGATGTGAAAAAGAGTCATGAAAGCGTGTTAGAAACAATCAACAATGCATGATTAAGCAAAAATGTAGAGCTGGTCAAGTTGACGATACGGCTTTGTGAAGTGGCAAAGCCTTGTCGCAAAAATGAAGTGGCATGCAAGTTGGTCAGTGTACCCTAGGGTCGCGTTGAAAAGGAGGAAACCGAGAGTAAATGGAAATAAAAGGGCGTTTTTCATCATCGGCAAATGATCGAGCAACGAGAGTAGGAAGGGGCTCGATTGACTAGCGTCAAAATGTGATAAAGGGGAATTGGAACTTTCAGTTAAAATTATTTTATATTTATACTTATATTTACATAAACAAAATGCACGTCCGGAATTATTTAGGTTCAAATCATTAATTGTTTGGTTTTAGGTTCAAATCATTAATTGTTTGGTTTTAGGTTCAAATTATTAATGGTTTAGGTTTAGTTTCAGATTGTTAATCGTTTTAGGTTTAACTCATTTTTGTTCATAACATATATTCTCAGTATTGCTATTGTTTGAAGTGAGTGGAGCATCAAATCCTGGAGACTTCATCCCATTTTTGCGATGGATTGATTTTCAAGGTTTGGAGAAGAAGCTTCAGAAATTGCAAACTAGAGTGGGCTATGTCACTTCTTCTAAAATCATCCCGATGAGCTAAAGAGAGCTAGAGCAGAGGTCGATGAACGTATCGGAGACCAACGTTTGGTAGAGGAGACTGATCTTCCCAACCTACCCTACATCCAATGCATTGTCCACGAAACACTAAGACTATTCCCAGCAACACCGCTGTTGGTGCCACATGAACCATCAGAAGACTGCACAAATCGGAGGGTTTGACGTGTCACGTGGTACAATTGTCTTGGTGAATGCATGGGCCATCCATAGGGATTCACAATCATGGGGTGAGCCATTTGGTTTCAATCCGGAAAGGTTTGAGAAAATTGGAAACACTGGGTATCGGTTTATACCGTTTGGCATGGGTCGTCGGCAATGTCACGGGTCAGGGCTTGCGAACAGGGTCATGGCGTTGGCGTTGGCATCGTTAATCCAATGCTTTGAATGGAAAAGAGTTGGTGAAGAGCTGGTGGATTTGTGAGAAGGTAAAGGTCTAACCATGCCCAAAGAAAAGCATCAATTAGAAACCACCCTTTTGGTTTTAACCTAACCCTTTGAGTTAAAGCTCAAACCAATCAGATACCACCCTTTTGGTTTGAATCTTAATCGTTTCTAACCTTTGGAGTTAAACTCAAACCAATCAGATACCACCTTTATGGTTTGAAGTGGTTGTTGTTGTGAACCGGATCCTTTTAATTACATTAACACCTCTAATAGATTCTTTGAAATAGAAAAAATGAATATTTTTATTCTTTATTTTGAATTTTATATATTTTATTTTGTTCCACAAAAATTTATCTGAAATAAAGAAAACTCTAATTTTATATAATTCTCTATAAAAACTTAAATTGAGAAGTATTAACAAAAATCATTCCTAAACTTCAAAAACTCAGATCTAGTCCCTCATGTATTATCAGGACTGAATTCTTTCAGTCACAATTTGTCGGGATTACTAACCTGTGACACTCTTCCAAAAAAAAGCCCTCATTTGATCGGACTTAACAAAAAAAGTTAACAACTATTAGACAAATGTATCGAGATCATTGGAAATTGATAAAGATGAGAGACCAAATCCAAAATTTTGAAGTTTAGAAATGACATCCCTTGAAAACTGCAAACGTTAGGGACCAAAATTGAAATTTTCTCTAAAAAAATTGTAAGTTTAAAAATTCTCTAACGATGTATTCTCATTTTCTTTTCTACGAAGAAAAAGAAAAGAAAAGTTAAATGGAGGAAAATTAAAAAAAAACCCGTGTTTTTGAAAGAAAAAAAAATTAGGAGAGAAAGGAAAGAAAGAAAAAGAAAATAATAATAAGTTTTCTTCTAAAACTTTTTCCGCAAACATGGGAGGAAAGAGAAGAAAAGGAAATACATTAAATCTAATTAAAAAATTATTAAAAATTACAAACTATCCAATCTTTCATTCTAAAAGAATATATTTTTAAAGGGTATGTTGGTAAAAATGACATCTTTTATTTCTTTTTTCTGTTGATCAAGATCATGAAAAATTATTTTTTTTCCTTTTATTTCCTTCTTTTTGGAGAAATAGATAAAAAAAATTGTTTTGTTTTCCTTTTTTTTCTTCCAATTTCGAGAATGCAACGTAAAATTTTTGATGTGAAGAAAAATATTACAATGGATATGTTATTATTTCACAAATAAAATGAAATTAGTATTATTTCATATAAATTTTTAAAAATGTGTTGCAATAATAAAAATTATATATTTTAATAATATAATTAATATTAAATTATTTTTTTTGAAAAAAGAAAAAAAAATATAAAATTTGTATTATAACATCGACAAAAACAAATATAAAATAAAATATTAAAATTTAAATATATCTTGTTATATTGTACGAATACCCTTCTAATATCTATTAATTTTCCTTTTATAGATTTTGGAGATGTTTTTTAGAAAACGTGTTCGGGTTCGAACTTCGAACCACCCGAAAGACTAAAAACTCGGATTATGATCCGTTTGAGAAGTCTCTTCCCCCTTTTTAACCCCTTCACTACAAAACCCTTCCTGTCTACAGTTATCTTGAATTCAATCAATTTCCTCTCGAGAAAATCGAATTAGGTGTTGGATGTTTATAATTTTGCAATGATTACCATCAATTCGCGAGAGTTGAACTATCTTGTCTACCGCTATCTTCATGAATCAGGTCGGTTCTTACTCCACTTTGTTTTTATGCTTGTTTGTTTTTGCCGATTGTTGCAAGATTGAGAAAAATGTGTTTCTCCTTTCCGATTTTGAATTGCTTGGATTTTGATGTATTGCGGTCAGTGGACTGTGTTTGGGGCTAGGTCACTGAAGTTTAACTAAATGTATGATATTAAGATGACTTGATTTCTTTTCGTTGGTTGGACATTTCATACGTTGTGTTTTGCTCCAAATTTCGGATGCATCAAGCAATGTTTGAAGCCTTGACTTAACGGGTTACGCAATTAGAGCAGTCATAAACATAATTTTCTCATCAAAAATGGTGCAATAACTCAGAATTACAGCACAGAAAGTAAGGTGTTGTGTGGCTGAGAGTTGTTAAGATAACGTTCAACTTATTAAATTTTCGATTTAAAATATGAATTTTACTGTAAATTGTAGCTAATTAGGCTTTTGGGTAATTCTAACTCTTCTTTACCAAGTAAACTTCTCCAAGCGGTGTGTCTGGGAAAAAGTTGTATTTGTGATCTTTTTGAGGCCCACGTAACATAATTATCTAACTTTTTTTGAGGGATCTGGATTTTACTTGAGGCTTGAAATGGAAACAATGATATTCATTCATGAGCATAAATCACTTTCCTTACCTGACCTTTCTTAACTCTTAAGGATATAGATCTTCCTTAACGCTTAAAATGGAAAGTGGAAACAATAATATTCAGGAGCTCAAATTACTTTCCTTGTATGACTTTCTTAAGGATATTGATTTTACTTCAGGCTTGGAACGGAAATATGATATTCATTAACATAAATTGCTTTCCTTATAATGAATCAAAATTACATGACAAGAGAAATTGCGAACCAATTGCTAAAAAGAAAGGTTTACTAAAGAAGCAAGGTACTTAGTCTCCCAACCTTTGCTAAATTGAACATTGACCCTCTGTAATACTTAGAATGTGCTACAGAGTTGTAAGCCTTCAAGCATACCCAGTGGTGGAGTAGCATCGAGTATACAAAAATAAAGTTAAATATTAATTTTTAAAATAGCAAACACAATGATATATATGGATGAAATGATAAAATTTGAAAATAAATGTAACTATCCGACTATTTTATAAGAATGAAACACGGATGTTAACATATTGAACAAAGAATCACGATCAACAAGTCTCCATTTTCTAAAGCATATCTATGATATCAATTTGATAGAGCACTAATAGGTGTGATAGTCTTTTTTAATTCCAATCAGAGGTTTAAAACCTTATAATAAATTATAAAGTAATTTTTTTAGATTTCCGTTGTCTTTTTTCTTTTTTTAACAATATACTAATGGAATGTGAAAAAACGTATATAATTGAGATTGACTTGTAATAATAAACTAGAGAGGTGTATTAATTGTAGTGAACCAACCCTCCTTTTACTTAAAACATAAAATAGATGGAAAAAAGTATAGATTAACTTTGGGACAGGAACTATATAAATGATGAAAGTAACCACAGATTGTGTTACACAAATTTCACTTTTCAAGGGACCAAAAGTGCATATGAAGAATAACTTTAGGGACTATTGCATTATATATAAAGATAACCCCCATTACCGTCCAAATTTCTCCTACTTCCTATACATGGAGCAGGCTTGTGACTTGTGAGAGAGGGACCCCATATGACTACGGTCTACGGCTATATATTTCATTAAGAAAAATTGAAATGCCAGGAGGCACCTATGCCCTCTCTGGCTCCAACGTGGCTTTGCCACTGAGCATACCTACTCCATAGCCAGCAAGCCAACCAAATTTTCCTCAATGGTATAGCATCTGAGGTTAAGAAAGGTGTCCTATGGTCCTTCATGAAGCCAAAGTTGGATGTGCTTTTGGACTTGATCAAATTATATTTTATTTGGGAAATTTGTTTTTTTATTGGCAAATTTCTATGTAAGGAGGATAGGAAGAAGCCATGCTAAGGCTTTATAATACAAGACCTAAATGAGCTAACTTCTTTTAGTGATACTCCCTGATAGTTGATGGTGCATTTATATCTCGTACATTTATTTACTTGACCCTGCTCTACCGTCTCTCAGCTATGGTTGGAGAAATAAGTTTTTGGGTGGTGGTGAGGGTTTGGAATGAATTTGAAGAAGCTTATTTTACTATTTTGTTTTAGGTATTGAAGCCTGCAAGACTTTCAATTGTTCCCGAAAGGCATGGTTTCTATAGTAGAGTTGATGACTTTTGCATTTAATTAACAAAGCTTTTCATAAAACACAAGTCAACAATTCATTGGATACTTCAAAAGCCCTTCATTGATAAATTAACTATTAAAATATCTTTAGCCACTTTCTCAGGGAACTTTACTTTGATACATTCACTAAGATTTGAGTCCTCACTTTACTGCGATATGTTTATTGCTCTACTATGATTTGTTCACTAAGCATCATATAGTTTACTTTACTATAATATGTTCACATAGAATCATATCCTTTGCTCTACTTTGATATGTTCAGTAAGAATGAAATTACATCCTCACTTTACTGCTATACTTATATTTCTCAGGGATCTTTACTTTGATGCATTCACTAAGGTCACTCGAACTATTGCCAAGAACAAGTTTGAATTATTATGCTAACTTCATTAACACATTTATCGTCAAGCCTCAACCCACATTTATTGCTCAAATACTTCGGGTGTTACAGACAAGTCAGGCAAAAGCTCTAGAAGACAATACCTATGGAGCTAAGTTCGTTTTGAGATACTCCATGTTAGCTGATAGAACATTAATTTCTCATACATTAGTTACTTGATCCTGCCTTACGATCTCTTGGCTATGGTTGGAGAAATGATTTTTTTTGGTGGTGATGGTGAACTATGTTGTTCCAGTTCTCTCTTCGACATGTAATCGGCGTTCAGAACAGTTCATGTAGATGATTGGTATAGCCTCTTTTTGATGCCTTATGTAGTCAAGTAGAGATAGGTAAGGTTTAAGAAAATTTGCTTTACCTATTGTATATGTGGTTGATCTCTTAGCCTTGGATATTAATTGTTTTTCCAATGTCCTGGTTTATTACCAACTAGGTTCAATCCCGTGTATTACACGGGGTAATTTGAAAAAAATAAATCATGTCAGGAACTTATCTTACAAATATGAATGATCATGGAAAGTATGATGCTACTTCAGACTTGTATTCTTGAAATAACTTTGAAGTATAACTCTAAAGAATAACTCTGAAAATGACTCTTCAAACTTGAATTTAGAAATGAAACTATATCAATAATTAGTTAAAATGAAGTTAACCCTAGAATAAAAAATTTAGAAATGAAACTATATTAGTAAATTGAATTTAAATTTAGAAGTAAATTTAGAATGACTCTTCAGACTTGTACTCTTGAAATAACTTTGAAGTATAACTCTGAAGAATGACTAATGTAAATTGTGTCCAGATACGTTCAAATGAGTCTAATTGAACCACTAATGTAAATTGTGTTTAGATACGTGTTTAGGCGGGAAAGCAAGAAAACCGACTCACCAGAAGATGATATGTGTCACCCAAGTTACTTATTTATGACAAGTATAGATGTAGCATCCTAAGTCTAGGCCTCTAGGAAAGGGAGATAGCTTTAAGTACGTGCTTCTTGACACAATTCTGTCTTTGTTTTCATAGAAGTGGTTCATGTGGATGTGTCAAGCTTCTAATTGGGAAACCAAGTATGGAGTTGAGAACAACTTTTGTATTCCTATTCTGTTAAAAGGTCACATGATTAAAATTAAAGAGAAATGTAATGCAAGTTTTCTCATTTCAGCATATGTGTTTGTATTCTGTCTATGTGAATATACTCCAGTTCACGTCCTGAAAAAAATTGCTCTCTTTTCTGTTTTTGGTCCTCTTTTTTGTGGATTTTGCATATGTTGACGGGAAAAAAGCTAAAAAGCTTGCATGAAAGAAGAAGCATACTAGATCTACACACAACCATCGTGCATTAGTGGATGGCAATTAGATCAAGGCAAAGAATTGGTGCACATAGACACTTTGGTATAGAAAAAGAAGATTAGAGCTGCTAAGAACACATATAAATCAACATGATGGCAAGTCTTAAAAGGGGACCTATGGCAGGCCGCAGGCTTAGTAATAGCAATTGTTAAGAAAAATAAAGGATGGTACCTCCTCTGAAGTCTGAACTTACAAAGTTGTTTCCAACCCTCAATCCTCTTTTCGAGATTCATCGATATTGAATCAAGCGAATGCCCGTCAGTCCCAACGGATCCAATAAGTACATCAATTCGCCTCTCCCCCTTTTGATCTCTCAGAAATTCTATGAAACGGACTTTCTAGAGATCCCCAATGACCAATCCTCGCATGAATTGCTAAAGATCCTATGAGTCCAACATTTATTCCTTCAGATGTATCAATGGGGCAAATACGCCCGTAGTGACTAGGATGAATATCATGACTCATGAGATGATGAAAAAATGGAAATGGCTAAACCTGAAGGCTTATGTTAGTAGGTAAACTATTTTCTTAGCCCCCAATTGGACCCAACTGGGGGAGGGGGGATCTGCAGAATTTTATTAATATGGGCAATTAAGAACCCAAAAAGATGCAATCAGAAAACTAAGATCTAAGCATGGAATAAAAATGAAAAGCAGCATTCATATATGAACTAATGACCGAAATCAAATAGATCCTTCACAGCCATAAAGGTGAACAGACTAACCACCAGAATGAAACCTGCAAGAAAGAAAACAGAAAAGACCAGAAAGGCAAAAAGACAAGTATCCAACTCGAGGAGGCCTAAGTATCCTTCCCTTCCGCATATGCTAGATATTTCGAAATTAATAATGCGATATATTAGTCTGAATTATTATGAGCGTACTACAAGCATGATGCACCACTTTTCACTCAATTGACAATTCTATTAATATTGTAATCTAATTAAGATTATTCAGCTTTTGCATCACTAAATTGATGTTTTTGTGCTCAATTTGTGAACTGGTGGAATAGAGGGGGTCCTTTTTTTTTTTCCTAAAATTATGCTTGCTTTAGATTTCCACAAACTCCCTTTTTGAGAAACAGCATAATCTTTGAACCTTGCCCACTATTTTCCACAATTTTACTGTTTTATAGATTTCACAAACTGCAATTGGTTGAGGCATATGGTCCTGTGAATGGATAGTCAAGTCAAGCAAGTTCAAGGGAAATTCTCTGATTGACAATGCGCATTGTGGTTGTTTTAATAACAAAAGAATCAAGCTCTGTTCAAGGGGGCACCTGAACAGAATCAAAATATAATTTCTCTATTTGCTTTGATTACCCAGCTGCAAAAGATAATGGTAGCTGTAAAGAATAAAAGAATGCTACTCCAGGGACCATTTTATGTGGCATTATTAACATGTTTTTTCCATAACCAAATAACTGCCAAGTCAACAGTTAAAATATACAGAGCCTACTGAAATTCTCAACTCATCTCTTTATATTATAAATATACTTTTTTGAATTATGTATGTTAACTTAGAAGGATATTTCAGGTTTCACACATACTGCCTTCACATTAGGTTATGAGGCAGGGCTGAATAAAAGTACAATAGATGGAAATTTGGTTCCGCCTGGTGCTCTTGTTACATTTGTGCAGAAAGGAATTCAGTACCTTGAGCTAGAAGCAAACCTGACATGTGTAAGAACAGTTAATATCTTTATTACTTCTACTGGGGTTGATGTTTTAGTTTATTGGACTAACCGGTGCCTGTTGGGGTCTCCAGAATGATTCTGACATCGATGAAGATTTCTCCTTTATACAACCTATTGATCTTATCACAAAGGATGTTTATGAACTACAAAAAATGATAAAGGAAAAGAAGGAAAACCTTCAGAAAACTAAACATAGAGAAAAGAGCAAAGAAAATACCACTTCAGTACGGGAGCATGAACAAGAACATGCTAGAGAAAAGGAGAAAGAACATGCTAAAGAAAAAGAGAAGGAAAATGACCAGGAGCATGCTAAAGAAAGAGAAAAGGAACGCATCCATGCTCGCGAAAAGGAGAAGGAGCAGGAACGACAACATCTTCGAGAAAGGGAAAAGAAAATTGAACAAGACCATCATCGAGAAAAAGAGAAGGAAAAGCAGCAAAGGGACAAAGAACGAGATTTGGAGAAAGAGAAGATAGATAGGGAGAGGGAGAGGGAGAGGGAGAGGGAGAGGGAAAGGGAAAGGGAAAGGGAAAAAGAAAAGGAAAAGGAAAAGGAAAGAGACAAGGGTAAACACAAAGAAAAGAAGAATGAGGATCTTGCTGATGGTAGACGTGACGAGGATAAGACACGAGTCCAGCCGGAAGAAAATGTGACCGCAGAAGGTAATGTACATTCTCATCATAAACAAAACCAGTGTGAAACAAAAAAAGAAATATTCGGCATGATTCACCACCCTCATAAAGCTAGCTACATGTTATATTCTTTATTTTTGCTTCTTATTACTCATCAATATGTTTCTTGCAATGTGAAATAGGACCGGAACCTATGGAAATTGACACATGCTCAACATCTTTGTCTTCTCTTATTCCCAACTCTGATGTTACCGTGTTAGAAGGTCATACTTCTGAGGTCTGTGTAAATCTCCGATTTCTGAAATGTTACTCTATATATAGTAGTACATTATTTCTTCCATTTTGACGAGGGACCTGAAAATGGGAGTTCATTTAAGTGTATTTACTCTTATTTGATATGAGTTTTTCTTTGAAGGGGGATAAAGAACAATGTTCTTTTTTTTAACTTGTTATATAGACCATAACTTATTTAAACTTTTTGACTTTGTCTATGGTGATGAATTTGAAGTGGTTAAGTAGTAAAAGTTATACTTTCTATTAAAATCTATTTGGATGCCTAACGTAAAGCTCTTGAAAGTGTTGATCAATATTAAAACAACCAGAAGTAACCTTACAAGTTTAATCTAACAAAGTTAAATGAAAATATGAAGTATATAGAAAATTCTAGTTAATAGGGTTTGAGAGAAACTAAAAGCCTTGAGTACATAAGTAGTTGCTCTTAGGGATAACACAAATAATAGAAAGTAGGTATAAAGAAAGGTATTTCAATAAGTTAATGTCCAATGATGGATAGGGATGGAAATGTGGATATATGGTAGGTTGAGATGGCACTTGAAAGGAGAAGTTGAGGCAATAGTGTTTGACGTGGTATGATAAAGACATTTAAATGCACCAGTTGGAAAGAGGAGACTCGGACCAATAGGAAAGCATTACCAACCGAGCATATTTAAGGCGTTTTCTTTAGATAGGCATGCATGGAAGGACGTAATGAATTGGAACCCTAGGGGAATTCACCTCTTATGTTTGCTTTTGGGTTGCACTACTTTCTAACTTTCTTGGGTTTCATTTCTAGCCAACCCCAGCTAGTTAGGATACAATGCTTGTGTTATTTATTTAGGTAAATTATGAAAAATATGAAAGAAAATAAATATCTTAGTGTTGTCATTAACATAAAACTAAGTAATTTACAGAAACCAGTTCCTGTTTACCATTTGCTGTGGTAAAATCTTTGATTTACTGAACATTTTTAATAACTGTAGTTTGAGTTGGATGGGAACGTAGGGCGAATGTTTGCAAGGATGGGTTGGTGAGAAATCCAATCATGCTTTTATCAATTTTTGAGGGTTGAAAGCATGAGACTTGAGAGAGGTGTACGTGGGCATTTGTGTAAAGCAAATATCTAGGGTTTCTTCATGGCATACAAAACCTTTTTTTCCCCTCAAGTTTGTTTGGTTAATAAGAATGGTTTGCGATTGCTTACAGAATGGTAATTTTTGCTCATGAGTGGAAGTATGTAATTGATAGGAAATAAAATACTAAATGTCAGCTCAAAAGTGATGTGAGCATAAATGGTGCTTGATATGAAAATCCTTTTCTGAAGTTAAAGTGCTGAACAAGGTATTACTTATCAGTAATCATAGCGAGTCGCTATTTGTATGCTTCCATTTCATTTCTGAATATTCGTGTTAGGTCTTCTTTTTCAAGTTATAAAAAACAGCCTAGAATAGAACTTCATAGTTGATATCTGGATTGGAATAGTTAGTAAACTAACAACAGAAGAAAGTATTACGGTTAAAAAACAAATGAAATGTTACTTATTAGAAATTAAAAAATAAAAGCAAGCATATGATGGTAGTAAAATATGTTTTTATTAGCAATGTAGGAGGTGTGGTTGCAATGTAGTAATATTTGTACTAATAATTGTGAAATAGCGTGTAATGTTTAGTATGAAGATTTATAATCTGGTATCATTAAATAATAGTGAAGATGGGCAATAAATTACTATGAGAAGGGCCATTGATGCTTCCGTTAACAATGCTAATCATTTATTGGCTAATTTAAGGAATAATGTGGGAAGCTCTGCCTCTTATTAACCAAACGCCCGCAGTACTTCTTACAGGTGCTAATAAGCAGCTTTGACTGCTTTTGTGCAATCCCAGTCTGGCTCTAGTCTACTAGCAGAAATATTTTCTTTATGGGATCTTAGTTCTGGATTTCGGTTTAGGAGTTCGGTGCAAATTGGAAAACAAGGTTAAAAGACTGCTTCATGGTTTCATATTGAATGATCAATTGACTCTTTCAACCCTTTGTCACAGGTTTTTGTATGCGCATGGAGTCCAGCTGGGTCTCTTTTGGCATCTGGGTGTGTGCATTCCCTTCGACAATATACTTTTATTTTTTTAGCTCTTCTTTTGTTTGACATTTTATTGATAATATTCAGTTAATGCTAGATTCTCACTTGATTTTATATTTGCTTATTCTAGATCTGGAGATTCCACAGCTCGAATTTGGACAATTGGTGATGGACCTTGTAGCTCTAATTCACAAAAGGGGCCCTTAGATGTTGCTGTTTTGAAGCACTACAGAGGTAGAACAAGTGACAAGAGCAAGGATGTAACCACGCTTGACTGGAATGTGAGTTTTTACTGCAAGATTATGGTTTGCTTGTCTTCATGATATCTCATTATCATTCCCAAATACTGTGACGTGGATTTTGAGGATGTCAGTAGTCCAGTTTTTCATATAATCGCTCTTTGCTTTATGTAGGGCGAGGGAACACTACTCGCGACAGGTTCTTATGATGGACAAGCCAGAATATGGAGTATAGACGGTGAGCTAGATTGCTTCTTCTGTTTTAAAATAGGCTTTTGAAGTCAAATGCTTATCTCTTGAACATAAGAAAAGGGAGTCTAGAATGGATAAACAGTGAGACGATTAGCTGTGGTGATAATGAGAAGAGACTATGAAGTTTTGACGCTTAAACGTTGATAGTTCTGAAGACTTGTCTGGTCCAAGAACCTACATTAACTTTGAAGGTGACAAAATGAATGCTCTGTTTGGGCTTTGGAGTAGGATTCTACAACTAATTTTGGAGATCCGATGCAATTAAAAATTCATCTGGCGCTTTCAAATGCAACTCTGCTCTATCATCCACTCCACAGAATCCTTTGCTACTAAGTTTCTAACTAGTTGCATTTTTATTTAGGGGAGCTGGTAAGTACATTAACAAAACATAAAGGACCAATATTTTCTCTGAAGTGGAACAAGAAAGGAGACTATCTTCTAAGTGGCAGTGTGGACAAAACTGCAATTGTATGGGACATTAAGACTGGGGAATGGAAGCAACAGTTTGAATTTCATGCAGGTGTGATATCAAATCTCAGTTATTGTTTCTGGTATTTTATAATTTTGTTCCAATTCATTGCATAGGAATTGCAATGTTTTATCACCACATACTAGCGGAAGTAACTGCCTGTTTGCCATAATGCCCAAGTTACCTTTGCACATCAGTAAATCAAATGGTGTGGACCAAAATGAATCATGTTGATAATGATTACTGTTGGTGCTGGGTAACTTACTTGAAATGTTTTCTGAAACTGGAACTGTTACAATTCTTGCGGGACACCCTAGAAAGGTAAAGGCAGTTCTTGTGGGAAGGAGGGAGTAGGCAATAATTCTAGTTTGATTTAAGCCTCTGTTAATTTATTGTCATCCATGTCCTTTTAAAGTGTTTCTTTCATTGCAGCTCCTACTCTTGATGTTGATTGGCGCAACAATGTCTCATTTGCAACATGCTCAACTGACAACATGATATATGTCTGCAAAGTTGGAGATAATCGACCAGTAAAAACTTTTATGGGGCATCAGGTACGTGCTAGTGGTCAAAGGTCCCTTATTATTTTCTTTTCTGATTAACTTTCTTATAACAGTTTTTTCCTAGCAAATTATTGTGGCATGCATATTTAAGTCTTAGGCTTCAAGAGAATTGTTTTATGTGATTATTTTCAAATTGCCTAGCCACAAGGGTGATCCAGAGGTCATCTCTGCTTCACACTAACTGTGAGATTGCAGATTGGAACCTCTTCTCAATGCCCATCGGGGCCTTTGCTTATTAAAAAAGTAGCATATTGGAAGATCAATTGGCCAAAATAATCAAGAACGGCTACAATATTATAAGTTTCTTCATCTTGACGGAATCTGTAGCCTTCTTTAGCAGAATAATTTTTTGTGGTTCTGTATTGTTGAATTCTGTCATCAGCTGAAGTTTTTGGCATATACGTACGGTGTGTGATGTGGAGTCATAACACCAGATAGTAACAATCAATCGAAACACCTTGAATCATGTAATTATGGTGCCGGGGACGGTGTTTATAGAAAAATTGTATCTACTGTAACATTCATGACACTTTAGCGGGGGTTCGGTTTCATCTTTTGTAATATATATGCAATAGCTTATCAAGTGTGTGCATGATATATTTTACTATCGTTATTACTTCCGGAAATCAGAAGGAAGTTAAGCATAATATTGGTGTATGAGAAATTCCTTGACGTCTTCATATCTAAATTTCTGTTGCTCTACCATCTAACAAGTTTTTGGATGTTACTCCAGGGTGAAGTTAACGCTATTAAATGGGATCCTACAGGTTCACTTCTGGCTTCATGTTCAGATGATTCCACTGCGAAGGTGATTGTTTATTTTTATTGTATTTGTGTGGTAGAGTTTTTTTTGGAACACGGACTTGCAGGGCTACCGCTGCGCTTAAACTGCTGATGTGCTAGGGAGATGCTTTCTTTTCTAATTATGTGTTATTGGTCCTATATGTGACGTTCTTGTCTCACTAAACTTTAGCAAATTGCGCCAAAACCAATCATGGTCATATACTTCCAAATATGCTTGGGACAAGAATATTCTGTAACAAAGTATTGAAGATACCTAAGTTATTATGTGCTCATTGCTAGTCTTTTGAGAAAGGTGATGTCCAAATGTTGATTTGATGTTTTAGGGGCATAAGCGTCTTCTTTTGATATAGTGCATTTTTGTGTGTTCATCATGGCTCATAAGGGCTGGCACTCTTCCCTACCACCAAGCCACAGCTCTCTCACACCTCTTGATCTCTCATAAACTCATTTGCATCTCCCTCCACCTCTTTCCCCTTTCTTTATCATCCCCATTACGGCCTCCATTTCTGACACATCTATTCCCTTCTAGGTCGCAAATGTTCATAATTACTTCAACAGGAACCAAAACTTATATACCTTGATCGAGTCTAAATTGGCTCAATTAGAGGTCATAATGAGTGCAATTGACACCCATTCTCTTCCACTTTTTCTGTCTCTTAATCTCCAATAATCTGGTGTATGGATAATGAGTCATTAGCTATCATGGATAAGTTTTTATCTTAGTAGTGGTGTATAAGCTTAAGACATTGAGGTATCATATATATAGCCAGGACTAATGAATCCTCGTGTTAGTTAAAGTCTAAGCAGACCTCTAATCTGCAGTTGATGGGCGACAATCTAGATATTTGAAATTGTTCTAGTAGGCTGTCAGGGGTTAAGGCACTCACTGACAGTTGTGGAATAAATAAGAGCCAGTGTTGGAAATGGAAGTGTAGGGACTCCTACGACACAGAATGGCATAGTGATATGAGAATATTATAATTGGTGGTGATTGTCAGTGAATGCAGGATATGATCTATACAGGAAATGATGAGATGTAGCAAGTGGGATTCTGGTCAAGCTTGGAATTCTTTCAGTATTGCCAGATATGCTACTAACCCTAACAAATCGCAAACCTGTTTTTGGTGCGTTCACATACCAATTTGACAAATCAGATGAATCCAAGGCAAGTAGAGTGAGTCTAAATTAGAAATTGCACATAGTTGGAGAGAATTCAAAGATTGAAGAAACTTAAATAAAAAGACATATTTGTCACTTGAAGGAAATTGGTATTCTGTAAATAGGTAACCGAGTGTTTATAAACCTAAATATAGCTGCCAAACTATATTTAGGCTTCTTTTTGGATAAAATAGTAGGCCACATAACAGCCTTTGGTAGCCATGTTGATGGAAGATCCTGCATTGAACATTTTAGGTATCCCATATCTCCAAAGCAATTTCTTTTATGGAGAACTTGGTCAATCATGACTGTAGGCTTGCAATTTTAGTTTAAAAAAATTGGGGGTGTTGAAAGACGATCATAAAATGCCCATATTTCTCATATACATGGAGAGAAATTGATGCTACATGCATTCACAGTTTTATCCTTCAGAAACACTCCTTATCTTCCTCCTCTTTGCTATATCCCTTTCATGACATCATCATTTTTTTTGCTTATGTACTTGTATTTCTTAGAAAATGTCTCGTCGTCTTTTAGGTCCCGTTTGGTTTTCGGGATTGGATTGGATTGGATTTGGAATTGAATTCCATTCCAATCCGATGTTTAGTTTGAAAGATTTAATGGATTTGAAATCCTACAAACATAGGATTTTGAAATCCCATGGAGTTGGTATTTCATTGGGATTTTGTAGGATTTGTATGTAATAATTGTTTAAAATATGTTAAAAACATTTGTTTTGTACTAATCAATTCATAAAAAGGTAATTTAATGATTTTTGTAATTATTTATAAATAATGGAATTCAATTCCATTCGCACTCCTACAAACCAAACGCATTAAAGATTCCAAATCCTTCCAAATCCAAATCCCTCCAATTCCAAATCCTTCCATGAAATCCAAATCCCTCAAAACCATTCCATCAAACCAAATGCCCCTTGCTATTAGTGATAGGATAGTTGATGGAACTTTCTATGTTTTACATGTTGGTTAATAGTTACAATTGGATTAATTACTTAAATTAATCATTGATATAGATATGGAGCTTGAAGCAGGATACGTGCTTGCATGACTTAAAGGAACATACAAAGGTACGACATATTACATGCTTTTCCTACATGTTATGATCGCTTTTGGTCATACTTGACACTATGTTATTAATTTGCAGGAGATATATACCATCAGATGGAGCCCCACAGGTCCAGGAACAAATAATCCTAACCATCAATTAGTCCTGGCAAGGTAAATACGCTTCTCTGTAAAGTTTTTGTCTATTTGTCGTTATTGACTTAACACACACATGCACATACAACTTGTCAGACATATTGAATTTGCAGTACACTCTACCCAGCATAATTATACTTCCTCCTAGTGATGTGCATTGCATGTGACATGACTGGAGGCAAAATGTGAATATTTTCGACTCTGTAGTCTGTATCATATTCGTGCAAATTAATTGTGTTAAAAAAAATGTTTTAGTTGGCATTACAAAGATCAATCTTGAGATTTGGTGTTAGGTCACCTCACGGGCTGTTTTAGAAAACCCCGGCAAAATTATTATGGTCTTGTCGTGCATGGATGCATTTAATATCAGTGATCGCCTTTTTAGACTCTTAGTGTATTTCCATCTCTCTCTTGTGGTATGAATTAAGTAATTAATATTAAAAAAAATGTTGCTAAAAGCTAATGGATTGGGGTTGTATATTTGGCTTTTGGATAAGGACCTGTTGGGCCATTCTGTGTGCAATTTATTCATTTGAAGTCTTCAAAGCAATATTTTGCAACCTTTCTCTCTCCTCATCTGATATCCTTTCTAGTGATGCAAGCCCTTGTGCTTTGTGGAAGTGCTGTTCAAACTCTTATGAAAATAAAAATGCACCAAATTCATGTTCAAACTTGTACGACCATCACTCAATAAAGTTTGGTGCTCTTGTGTATATATATGTAGAGTCAGGTTCAAGGGAAAACCACAAGAAAATTAAAAATTGAGGAACACTCTGGTGTTCATTCATCTGTCCAGTATGCACATGTGCATACAAGTAATAAGCAATTTGTCCGGTATGCACATGTGCATAACATGAACACATGCATAAAAACTAAAAAATAGTTTCAGTTGTATGCACATGTGCATACGTCCAGATGAATGTGTGTGTATATATATGTCTTCCAATTTTCCTTTCTAATTACCCTTAACTCAATGGTGTCCTTGTAGGTTTCTGTCAGTTAACTATCTTTACATATTATTTTTTGCTTCATATTTACTTTTGTATTTTCTCTTGCTGACCAGTGCATCATTCGATTCAACAATAAAGCTATGGGATGTGGAAACAGGGAGCCTTCTTCACAGCTTAGTTGCCCATGGGTACAATATTAACGTTCAAAGATTTTTTTTTTTGGAACGTGTTCTTGATAATCATTGCATCTATAGAACAATAACGTGCTGCATTGTTAAAACGCAAACTTAACCATGGAAAGAAAACCATACATATGAACACTAGTTTTTACGAAACACACATATAGAGTCAGGATCATGTGAGAAATTTTCAATTTCGTGAGAAGGAGAGAACAAGTGTAGATACCCTTATATTGTCTCAAGATTGTAACTTCCACACCCACCTTCAAATGTGTATTGAAATGTTACATTATATTATAACTTCCACATCCACCTTTAAACCCATATGGCAAAAATCCATTAATGTAATTGTAACGTTAGTTTTGTTGATTTGAATGCAGCGATCCTGTATATTCTGTTGCATTTAGCCCGAATGGCGAGTACTTGGCAAGTGGATCATTGGATAAATGCATGCACATATGGTCTGTGAAGGAAGCGAAGGTAGTCAAAACTTACGTTGGAAGTGGTGGGATCTTTGAAGTTTGCTGGAACAAAGAAGGTGACAAGATCGGTGCTTGCTTCTCGAACAATGTAGTCTGCATCTTGGATTTCCGTATGTAATCTTTTTCATGACCTAAAATGGCTTGAAACTGTTCATGGAGGTTGTATATGTAGTAGACATGGAATGGTTTTGTTTAGTTGTAGGTAATGTGGCATGAATTTGGTTGGGTATAGGACTCGTAGAAATAAATTATTAGCGTATTGGCACGATCTTTGCACCTTTCTTATTGGTAAACATTTACCACAAAACACTACGTTAACAACAATTTTTCGAGTGTTCACGCTGTGTTGGTAAATTTTTTGAATGGCCTATTTGATACTATCCATTGTTTTTATTTGTATTCTAGTGGACTATATCTAGGTGCAATAAGCACTTGTTTTATACTATGTTATATGCACTTATTTTTACGTTAAAATTAAGTCAATTCATACATTGGAAAATGTAAAAAGGAAAAGCGATGATGTTGATGCGCGCAAACTAGAAATGGACCATCCATGGTGCCAGTCGAACAACAAAATTAATCCAAATGGTCGTAAAATATTGATACAAAAAATATGCGGAATAAGTATGAATCCTTTGCGCACAATAATTATGCATGGCAAACGATAAACAATGTAAATAAGGAAACATCTAAAACCACATGCAGAAGAGCTGAGTTACGACAAACTTTGACCTAAAACAACATTACAACTCATCACAAATTATAGGCGATTATGTTATGCTTCCTAAGCGAGTTGATGTGCAATGTCAGATCTCATGTCTAAAGTTAATTTCGTTAATTTCTTATTTTTAACAGACAAAACCTAGCTTTTTTAAATTAGACCAAACTCGAGATCAGACTTTTTCTGAAATTTTTATCAGATAAAAAAGCAGCAAGTCAAGGTTTGATATTTTACTTGCAAGATCCAAACTTTTCCAAGCCATGTTAACTAATCCATACTTTTATGAAACCAATTCATGTGCACCATTGCTGACCAAGAAATCTTTACCCAATGAGCAAAGCAACAAGCCCAAAAATGTGACTCAACTTTGTTTTTATTAGATATTGCTATTACCAACAACCAAAAATTTATAAAACACCATTAAAATGTATTTCTTTGATCTAAACAACTAATCAATCTCTGTTTGCTATCCAGATTTGCAGTCTGTGTTTGTCCTAATCACCTGCTTCTGATTCCAAATCATTCTAAAAAACATCAAGCACTAGAACATCTTGCTTCCAATCTTTCTATATTTCGAATGCGGATCTTCATCAGTTTGGTGTCATCAACAAGTACCCTTTTTTCTGAATCAAAAACTATGCTTCTTTGATCATGTCTTCAAAGAAGGAAGATGGTATCACTGAAGGCGAAGATAATTCCGATACACATACAAACTGTCGTAAAGAAATCAAAGAATTTGATCAGATTTTACTAGAAAACAAGATCTTCAAACAAATTTGAAATATGCAAATGTTGCACAAACCTTATGCTGCTTGTATTTTTCTCTAATTGCTACCAGTTTTCCAGCTCTTCTACTAGATTGCAGATCATGTAGAATTTCAACACATTCTTTCAAATCTGATGGCTTATATCCAGAAAGCTGTTCCAGAGCCAAATTCTGTAGATGGGGTATAATTAGTAAGTTATAACTCATTAAGATTCACATCCATCTTTTGATGAAACAGGGAATTGAGTGTACATAATTCTTACCCATGGATGTGACTTTGGTTTGAGTATGAATCTTGAAAGAAAAGTAACAGATGCAGCTACCATAGAAGGCAAGAACTTGATCAAACTGTAGTCTAACAAGCTTAATTCTGCTAAATAATAACTCAAGAACTCGAACCGCAAATTGGGTGTCTGAAAAAATGCAAAAGAATACACAAATTAGCATTTACGTAATGAACAAATCGATCATCAAAGAAAAGGAAACAGAAAGAAGATTTACATCATAATCTTCTTGAGCAATTCTGGTAAATCGCCTGAAAACCAACAACACAAAAGGATGACACAAAGTTAGCAAATTCATTCGAAATCTCATTGGTTTAAATGCAACATAACTGAGATTGAACTTGTGCAGTTTTTATACCTAAGAAATGTTTTCACTGTGGGATTTCCCATTTCAAATTTGAGGGTTTTGAGCACATCAGCTTCCATTTTCACTACTTCTTGCTTGGTGTAGGTGTTATCAGTGATGTAAACAAAATCTTCGGTATGTGGAGGGCTGATTTCTTCATATTTTCTGTTGATCACAAAAGGATTTCAGATTTACAATTAGAATCAAACCATAAAGCTAAAACGAATACATCAAACACCTGCATTGAAATACTTACGATGCGATGAGCATTGAAGAAACACCAAGAAGTTGAAGTCTTTGTCTGTTAAGAACATTTACTGATAGAAATCTATCAATGTAGGATATGGTTAGATACAAACTATCTGGAAGAAGCTTATATTCTTCTGCAACTTCCACCAACCAATCAATCAATACACCCCTCATATTCACATTCACATCCTTTTGCACTTTTTCAATATAATCTGCCAATGGTCTTCTTTTCTCCTCCATCTGGATTCAAATTAGAAATCGCAAAACTTCAATGCAAACCCATGAATCAAATTAACAAACAATTATCAAACCCCTAAAGTTTTTCGATCAAAACCCTTGAAATTGGGAATTAAGTTAGAAATATGAACTGAAAAAAAGAAAGGGGAAATTATGGCACCTCCATCTTATGTAGATATTGATAGATATCAGAGACATAGGGTTCGCACATCTGAGGGTCAATCGATGGATCATCGATCTCCTTCGCAGCCAGTTCATGGGTTTTCGCTGCTGCTGTTGCTAGTTTCACAGGTTTCTTCACCTTCTTCGCTCCACATTTCAACTTCTGAACAAGATCAGATCCCACCTTTGGATTCTCCAATGGAATCAAGTTATTCGAGAGCTCACCCAACACCACTCTCTTCTTGTTCGGAGGTTGCAACTGAGTTACAATCGCTTCCATCGCTCTCTTCTTCGCCAGGCGGGTAACTCTCACACCATAGATGTTCTCCTGGTCCGCCATTGATTAACAATCCTTGAATCCAACGAACCCAGTAGAGAAATTGGCAGAGAGCGATGGTGAAAAAAATGGGTTGAAAGTGTAAGTAATATAGCGAAAGAATATGCCGCCATTTTCACTGGGTTTCAAAAATTTTGAGGTTTTGGGAATGGAGATTGGAGGGTGAGAGTGTTTTTAGTAAAAATTTTGAGATGAAAATTTTGAAAGGACGAATGGAAAGTTGACACGTCGGATGCGGGTCCAGGGATTCCAAATTGGTGAAATGTTTTGGATTGGTGCCGTGGCGGCTAATTTTTCAGGTTCTGAAAACATGATTTTAGATTGTGATTTGAAACGCTAAACCACGCGCCTTTCTGCCAATTTGTTGAGCTTTAAAAAACTTCTACTTTTGGTCATGGTGTTTTCAAAACTTACAATTCAACCCCCATACTTTTGACACATTATCATTTTTATATGAAACTATTAGAACAAAGCAATTTTAGTCATTTGATGTTATTTTGAAAAAAACTATGACGGATGTATTTTGTAGGTGGATGATCATAGGAATATATCGTTGAAAACTGGATACAGATGGAATTTGGAAACCGAAACGATGATGATGCTACTGATGAGATATTTAGAGTGTAGATGTTTTATTTCAAAAATGGATGTTGATAATAATCTCTTTTAAGGATTAGATCACGAGGGTAATTCGTGTAAATAATAACAACAACGTTGACGGATTATGGACCAACAGAGAATTGTTGATGGTTGAAAACTGGTTTACCAGAGTTCATTTGTATTTGTTGATACAGATGTAGCAAGCCAAGCATGTAGTAAACTCATGTCACAATGTGACTTCACATAAATTGTTGATTCAAAGGATCTCTTTGGAATAAGGTAGTATTTATGATATTGGGAGTAAGTCATCATTCTTGTTTAGACTCATTAAAGCCCAATATCCTTAACCCATTAAAGTCTAAACAACACACACATATTATCTATACATTCACATATACACATACATTTAAACATATATACATCATCTAATACATGTATCTTCAACAATATATACATAGATCCAATTGTGGTTAGCAACCAACACACATATATATACATCGTGTATATATATGTATATAACACGGGCCGACGAGTATATATATAGAACACATACACGTGTATACATATGACGCATGCATATGTGTACATATAACACCCATATCATCTATACATTCACATATATAATATATACATCATCTAATACATGTATCTTCAACAATATATACATAGATTCAATCGTGGTTATCAACCAACACACATATATACACATCGTGTATACATATCTATACGCATAACATATACACATGTATACACATGATGCATACACATGTGTACATATAATACACACATTATCTATGCATTCGCATACACATATACATTTAAATATATATATATATATATATATATATATATCCAAATTGATGTGTTCAAAATGGCTCATTTATGAGTCCACTACACTTTAACACTTTGCCAGGTAACCAACATGTTGAGAATTAATCAATTTGAAAAACATAGACAACAAATCTCTTTGTTATTAACCCTCTCAAGTCTACGTCCTATGTCATTCAAGTGGCTTATCTTTAAAAGACCAAAACACCTTTAACATTTTTCAAAGTGATCAATTCGTCAAGAAGTGTCTTGCATTTTATAAAATTTGAAATTAAGTAGTAGAACATCATTATTGCAAAATGATGCACTTTCGTTTAGTTTAAAATCTCATCATTTGTCTCACACTCAAGCTAAAAAATTTAGATACTCATACTTGAAATAATTGCATGGAAAAAGTAAATAACAACATAAAGTAAAGACATAACTTAAGAATGTAAATGCAAGAGAAGAATTAAATTGCAAGAATGTAAAATGTCAAAAGTAATACTTAAATTTAAAGAACTTGAAAAGTTATAAACTAAAACTACTACATTATGAAACTAATACTTCTCATTCATACTCCTTGCCAAACTTCAACTGCAACACCTCTATTTATGCTAAGACTAGAGGGATGCAAAGGAGGAAACTTGGTCCCAAAGTTTTTTTTCTATTAACCTGGATATCCAACCTGCTATGCGAGCGGACTAATCCCAGGACGACCCACATGCTTTGCAGATAGTCCGGAGTCACCGCATTTGAACCTCTGTAGCCACAAAGGGACTTTTATTCCTCCTTAGATTTGAACCTGAGACCTCCTGATACTTTTAACCTTTTAACTCCATAAAATAAGAAATGAAAAATAAAATAATAAAAGAAACAAATTTGGGATATAAAAGGAAAATAAAATAGTTAAAAGAGAAAAATGAGTGTTACAACATTGGTGAAACAAAGCATATCAGTTACCATACTGAACTTACTTTACTTGGTAAGATTATTGACCATCAAAATAGCATAGGAAGGTTGTTGATAAACATCTTTTACGAGGTAAGCGCTAAATGGGTAAGAGTCACCATCTCACTTATCAGGTAAGATTTTCGGTCATTGTCACGCCTCTTTACCACATATGATTCTCAGTACTTGTAATTGTTCACCCACTAAGTTAAGTGAAGTTAAAACCATATGTTGCCAACAAAATGTTAGAAGTGCCCTTCGAGAGTGAGGTTAAAACCATTAACGAGATAAGATTTTACAACTCTTGTCATGAACTTATGATGATGTTGATGGATTGTATGCCATCGATGCTCCTCTGATTCTGAATCATGGATCCGCCCTTATTCAACAATGCAATGAGAGAGGCAACAAATATAAATGGGCCACCTTATAAATATCTGATGAAATCATATCGATATTCAATAGAAACAACCAAGAAAATAAACACATGGGTCCAAGGTCATGTGCGATCTTAAAAATATATACATATTTGGGAGCTCAACACTATCAAGGAATAGCCACACAAAATTAGGGTGTGCCACCTATTAATAAACCTATAAATCGTATCAACACAATTAAATTCAACCATCAAGACCAAGAAAATGAGAAAAATCATTTATCTATATATATTTATACATATATATATATATATATATATATATATATATATTAGAAGGCTACTCATGCAATGCATCGAGACACATTTTCATTTCAATGTTTCGTTTTATTTTTTATTCATGCCAATATAATACGATTTTATGTGATTTTAAGAAAACGATAATGTTTTTATTTTTAAATAAAATATAAATTTGAAAATATCATATAAACTTTGCAAAAAATATATTAATATTAGTATCCAATTATCTATTTAAAACTTTTTATTTGTATATTTTTGTAATTCAAAATTTTTATTATAATTTAATTTATCGTAACGAAGTAACTTAATTTATGTTTAATAATATATTTTCTTATAAAGATAATAATTAAGTATTCTGTTATAACTCAATAATTATCCTAATTATATTTTAGATTTTTTATATTTTAAAATAAGTTGTTTATCATCTATTTGATTATGTTTATCCGCAGTTAATTACACGAATTCAAACATAAAGCTTTAATAAGTTGTACTTATGCATAATTTACTTGTAATCTTGAAATTTAAGTAATATGCATCAATAAACAGTACTTCATGCACAAAAAATAATTTTTTAGAGTTTTTGTCAAATGTTTTATAATATAGTGTATATATATATATTAGAAGAGTACTCGCACAATACAACGAGATATATATTTCGACTTCAATGTTTCATTTTATTTTTTTGGTCTATGTCGATGTTATAAAACGAATTTATGTGTTTTTGAGCAAACAATAATGTTTTTCTTAGTAAAATATAAATTTAAATATATCATAAAAATAAAAATATATATATAAAAATTTTGTGTAATTTCTTTAATTCAAAATTTTTATTGTAATTTCGTTTAGGTTTAATTACGAAGTAATTTATGTTTTGTTTAATAATATATTTTTTATAAAGATAATAATTAATTATTTTGTTTAATTATCTTAATTATATTTTAGATATATATAAAATGATAATTTTATCATGTATTTGATTATATTTATCTACTATTAGTTATATAAATTTCAATATGAAGCTTAAAAAGTTGTACTTATGCACAATTTACTTGTAATCTTGAATTTTAAGTAATATTCATCAATAAGTAGTACTTCATGTATAAAATATGGTTTTTAAGAGTTTTTGTTAAATGCTTTATAATTAATATATATATATATATATATATATATATATATATATATATATATATATATATATATAACGTTTCCAATGCAACTCATCATATTTGTACAACCAATGCAACCTAATTAATTGAAATATTTATGGAAATGATGAGAGTTCGTTTAATATGATTTGAATATTTATGGAAGATGACTATGATTCATTAATTATGATCAATACTTTATATTAGGAAACAATCAAAACTTTTATGAAATCACATATTCATCAAATTAAATGGACGATTGAGATTGAGTTGTATCGGTTGTACAAATATAAAGGATTGCATAATACTCACCTCTCTCTCTCTCTCTCTCTCTCTCTATATATATATATATATATATATATATATATATATATAAACATGCTAAATGGTTTTGTATTGGAAATTAAGATGTACAACTACCTATATATGCACCGTGTACAAGTTTTGAAGCTAAACACTAGTGATGGCCAAAAACCGATCCCGGGTCGGTTCCAACAAGTCCCAAAATTTCTCATAACCGGTCCCAAGATTTTGGCGAGGGTTTTTTCAGTAGGAAAATCTGTCGAAATCCCTTATTTTCCGCCGAAAAAAGTGCTAACATTTTGCAGCATCAAAGATTCACTATTTTTCAGTCAATTAGTGCTAAGTTATGTATTTTATATATTTGATATATATACTTATTAATCTATCATTCAACTATAATAATTTTTAGTGTATATTAATTAGTTTAAGTATGTTGGTTAAACTTATATTTTTATATTCTATTTAACCACCTAATTTAATTATTATTTGACCATTAATTGTCATCCATTAGTTCAACCTCC